CGTAATTTTCCTCTTTTTTTTTTCAAATATTATTTTACAATTTACCCAAAAAAAAATCAAAATATTAGAAGTTGAAATCTTAAATAATTTAATCTTTAAATTTTAATTTAAAATGATTTCTATGGTACATAATAATTTAATTTTTAAATTTATAAAAATTTAGCTTCTATATAATAAATCTCGTGTCAGTATATTTATATGATTAATAGGCTGGGAAAAGCTCGAGTCCAATCCTTCAGTGGTCTCAAGAAAAAAAAAAAAAAAAAAAAAAGGAATGATCAAGAATCTCGAGTCACTGGCTAAGCCGTAATAAGATGGCGGAAGAAATCGAAGACCAATTCGATTGTCATTTTTTGAATTTTAACTTAATTTAGCTACAATCCCGAACTCCGATGACCAAAAGTGTAATTTATTAATTTTTTTAATTTAATTTTGAACTATGGTATAAATTTAACCTATAGTTTTAATTTCTCAAATGCTAAGAGATTCTTAAGGGTTACTCTTTCTTTTAAAGAGATCAAATCTATTTACTACCCATGTATGTTATGTTTCTTTATATTATTTTATTTCTAAGTTTGTATATAATTAATTTAAAACATTATTAATGCATTAAATATCATAAAAGACATTCCCTTTCTTAAAAGTTATCATTATTGTTTTATTTTGAAGGCTTGATTTTTTTTTATTTTTTTTTATTTTTTATAATTTTGTCGGCCGACCCAAAAATCCGCTCAATTTAGATTATTCAACCCAAATCATACATATTAAGTTTGCTTAGAATTTTTTTCGGTTTGAATCGGGTTGAATTTTTTGGTTGATATTTTTTTGGTCCACCCGACTAAACTAAAAATAGAGTTACAACCTAACCCTACCTTATCCTACCGTATTAAGATTATTATGAAAATTAAGAATATTTGATGATCGTAAGCGCGATTTGAATTTTATAAAATTTTAATTATTAATTAAATTCGTGAACCCAACCCACTCGAAATTTCAAATTGGTTCCAAAAGTGTAAGAAGCCCAAACCCATAGCCAACATGTCTATTTTGGCTCACGTGTCACCGTCAGTCTCATGGTTTTAAAATATTGAATGTTAGAATAAGAATATTTATTTATTATTTTATGTCCTTTGTTTTACTAGTAAATTAAATCAAGGATAAAAGAATATTCAAAATTGCGAACTAAAATATAATATATGAAAATTAAAAAAAAAATTATTGAATTTTATTTTAAATTATTTGCGACTTTAAAGTGGGGATTTGTTGAATGCTTTTCTTAATCTTTGACCAATTTAACAAGCAATCAACTTTATTAGCACAATATATTCATGAATATTTTAATTTTTTTTTTCTCTTTTTCCAAATAAAAATATATTTTGTATGAACAAATTTAAATTTATGAGTAAAATATAAAATATATATTAATATTGATTAAAGAAAACATATCACGACATAATGTTTTAACGTCGAATATCAGAATAAATTTTTTATAATTTTTAATTATATTTATATTGACTTTAACGAAATTCTGTTCGATTTCAGACAAAATTTGATGTAGCTCGTTACATCAACTAAAAAGATGTTTAAAGAACTTTAGAAAATCGAATAAGCTAACCCGACAAAGCTTAATACAAGCTAATCAACGAAAACTCGTCACATTAATTAGATTCGTTTGACCGGGTAACTTTTGAAAACCTAAACCAATCTGTACCCGATTTCGTGGGTGTGTTCAAACGTCTTAATCTTAAAGATTAAGGAAAAACAAAATGAGGTTCATTATTATTAGCAAAAAAAAAAAAAAAAAAAAAAAAAAAACATGCACAACCTCACTTTGTCTCCATGTCTTGTCTTCAAAGCTTGGCAAATTCCATCTTTTGTTCTTAAAAATGCTTCATCTTTCTCTCTTTAATCATTAATATGGATAATGTATATACAATATTTTAGGGTTAATTATCCATTCAATTTATCATTTTTTTATTAATACGAATTATTTTATTTGAATATGTGACGTTTTTTTATCTACATGATCACGAGCTGATGTTGTTTTACATCGATAACTATGTTAGCTGACTATCTTACAAGTTTAACGATGAGGTGAAAAAAGAGAGGAAGAAATTGACCTTTTTTTTTAAAGGGTTAAACCTTGATTTTAGAGATAGATACTAAATCGTACTTTAAAAACATTTTCAACTAAACAGAGAATGAAGGATGCTTTGATATCGAATTGTTTGAGCGTTTTTCAATTTCGATGTAGTTTCTTATCGTTGGTAAATGTAAAAAATGGTTAACGACAAACTTACCTGACGAATGCATGAAGATTTAGAGGAAAAAACTCGAATATTATAAAAATTTCTAAGAAACTCGAGAACGAAATTATAACAGTTAAACCTCATTGCTAACAAATATTATTCCATAATTCATAGGTCCCAAGATCGGCTCGGATTCCATTTGTAACAACCCAGCTCACCGCTAGCAAATATTGACTGACTTTGACCTCATGGTTTTAAAACGAGTCTACTAATAAGAGGTTTCCATACCCTTATAACGAATGTTTCGTTCCCCTCTCTAATCGATGTGGGATCTCACAGAAATTAGAAACTTTGTTCTTGTAGATGACTTTTTTTTTCTTTCTCCTTACATCTATGTCGTCAACTAAGGTAGTTATTGATCAACACGGGAGAATTGAACTACAAAAAAACACCCGAACATTACAATAGAGACATAACTGAAAAAACACTCAAATATCGGGACAAAAACGCATATTTAGCAATTTATTTGTGTCGGGTCGGGTTTATTATTGTAATCGAGAAAGAAAGATGTGTTGGGAAGCACTAAGGGGGTATCAGCTAGAAATTTGTTTTCATGCAAGGCAATGATTAGTAGGGAAAGAGAGGCATGTGGTTGTTTTTGTTTTCATGCCACTTTCAATCATGTGCCTATATGTTTCTTTATTTTCTCTTTTGGATTCTTGCTTCTCTCTCTCTTATTTTATGATTCTCGTCTTGGTGGTCGGATATTTATATATTTTATGATTCTCTTATAGTAGTCTCGATAACAAAACCCTCGAGTTTTTAGCCACTTTCGAAACTTAAATCTCGAGGTTAGAGGACCAAAATCTTTCGTATGAAACTGCTTGACAAGATGTAGTAGACCAACACGAGTCAGTTTAGTATGCTTTGTACTCACTTATATGCATTTCATGAAAATTTGTAAGAGGTTACCTAATATAGAATTGCTCTAAGCAAATCACCGTTTTAACTATAAAATTTATATAATTGAGCCAAGGAAAAAGAATCCTTTGTTGGATGCTTTTTTATTATTTTTATTCGAGGGTTGAATGGGTGATTTGAAGAAATTGAATTGAGTTTAAAAATCAAATAAAACCTTTATTCTTTATTTTTCATTAATAACTAAAGTTTAAATATCCAATGTTTACAAGTCACAATATAGTATTAACATCGATTACAAACGTCAAATATTTTTAATCTTTATAAAAATAGGGAAAGGTTGAATCTGGTTATAACCTTGTTTTCGAATTAGTAGAGTTGACCCGACCAAAAAATGTCAACCACAAACTGAGCTTGAGTATTTGTTTTCCAAAAATTCAATCTAGTCCCAACAGGTAAAAAAAAAAAAAAAAAAAAAAAAAAAAAAAAAAAAAAAAAAAAAAAAAAA